CCCAGGAGGAGCTTCTCCCCTGACCCTGTCCTCCCACCCCCCACACAGAGGGTGAAGACCCAGGGTGGGAGAGGTGCAGGGGACTCACAGTGGTGGGCAGGCCTAAATGTTCTTGTTCTGGACTCAGTGTCTCAGAGTGCCTGGTGGCCAGGTTGAGGGAGACCTGCCCTGGGGTCCCTCTCATCTCAGGCCCCGAGGTCTCTGGGTGTGGTGAGACCTGCCCTGTGCTGCCCATGAGGACTGGGTGGTTCCTGGTGAGTGGCCTGTAGTGTCTGGCCTTAGTCATCCATCCTCTCATCCGTTCCCAAGTGCTTTCGCTGTGTGGGATCCTGAGGCTTCTTCCTCAAGCCCTGGACAGTAGCACAGCATGTTCACTGCTGACTCTCTTCAGCCAAGTGACTGTTAGGCAGCCTTGGTGAGACTGTGGTGCCTGCTGACTCCAGGGTTCCAAGTTCTGCTTGGACCTGTCACCGAGGAAGTGAGATCATGTCCTGGGGTCCATAAGCAGAGCCTTCTCCTCTTATAAGAAGATCCTATGGCCCCTTCCTTTATTTTTATTTTGGCAGAAAAATTTACTACGTTGTATTATGTATATATCATTCCAGAAATACTTTACCATCAAGGAGGCTTAGTAAAATTAATATTATTGGTGCATTTTAGATATACATACTGATCACAGTCATGATAGGGAATGTGGTTCTCTACGTGATGTATCACGATTTCCTTTTCCCCAGTCCTCTATTCTCTTGGTAACTCTTCTTCCCCTCATTATTTACAAAAGCTTTGCTTCCATTTTTTCTTGCTATACTTTTTCCATCATCCCTTTTTAATTTCTCCCTCCCACCTCCATTATTCCCTTTTCTATTTGTTCTTTTTTTATTCCCAATATCTGTTATGTAATTTAGACCTTTTTTACCCTTTTACAGTGAAACAATGCAATATTTGAAAATGTGTGTCAGTTTAATTTCAATAAATACTATGATCTCAAGGTGCATAAGGCCTCAAGCTTATCCTTTTCTGTTGCTGATAAATGCTCCATTTTTGTGGAAAAAAAAGAGAGAGAGATTCTGGATCTTTGTTAACCACTACACTTTTGATGGGTCTTTGTGCTGTTTCCAAGATTCAGCTGTTATATATTGTGTTGCTATATGGGTGTGCATATATTGGGTGGTATAATGCTTTTCATAATTTTAGGAAGTTATTGCCCATCCCTTTCATAGTAGAAGAAATTTGAATGCTCCTTAAAAACAGCAATGAAAAACTAAAAAAGCTGTTTGTAATGGTACAGGTTGAAAAACTTTAAGTTTTATTGCAACATATATGTAGAAGCTTCAGATGCAGCAGGCATGGTTGAGGGTGTGATTTTCCATCTGAAGGATTCATTCTCTCAATACACAGTGCTCAGGGTCATTACTTAAAGATCTGTTGAATTTTAGGAGGATTTTCTTTCCTGGGTTGCCTTCATTATTATTTCAATTCAAACACTGACTGTGGAGATGTTCCAAAAATATTTAGTCATTTTCTTTAAGAGCTAAAAACATTTGAAATATTATCTCCTGGATGGCCCGTAATGGAAGATTCATTGCAGGTTGTAACTTTCAGGTGCACATTTAAAGGTATTCACACTCAGATACTGAACTCAACCACAAAGTCCAGTGTTCAGCGCTGTGACCTAGTGCAAAGGGACAGCAGGTGGTGACTTCAAGGTGCAGTCTTTGTGAGGCCCTGGAGATCATTGCCCCAGTGGTGATGCAGAGCATATTCACAGTTCACTTGGGAATTTTTCCTCTATCCACAGTTATCCCCTCCTGTCCCCTCATCCTATGCTGTATGCTGACCACTTGATTTGTCCTTCCTAGAGGGTGTAGAGCTGTAACCATTCAGTATATATATATATATTTTCTGCAGGTCTTCTTCAGGCAGTAAACCATGGTGGGTTTCCCATGTGCTGCTTCTTGTCACTGGTGAAGCCCTCACAGCCCATTGTGTGAATGGGGTAGGAATCGCTCCTCATCCATCTGCAGATGGCCATTTGTTTTGTTTCCAATGTTGATTTAAAAGTGAAGCTGTTGTGACCTTTTTATAGGGTACATTTAGCTTTTTAATGCACAAATCTGGGGGTTTTCCACTTACTTTCAAGTAAAAAGAAATATCAAGTTAATAAAAATTACTGAAGTTAACTACTGAACTGATTTCAGGGGTTTTCTTACCCAATTTTTGTAAGAATTTTTATCAGAATAGCGTACTTTTTTATACTTACCACTCAGTCTCAAAAAATTTGTATGCAGCATAACCAAGAGTCTAATGTGGATATGTTTATACTATGAAATGTCAGGTAAAATTTTTTTTGTTTTTTTATTGGTACATTTTAGGTATACAATTCATTTACATTTATCATTGGGTGTTTGTACCTGTACATGATATACTATGAGAAAAGAAAAAAAATGGAAATGAAATCTATGTAAATAGGGAAGGGCAGAGGGGGTGAAGGGTGCACAGGTAATGGGGGCAAAAAATAAGAACCAAGACATATCATGCTGTGACCTTACACACCTGCTTGTATGGTGTCACTTATTAGGGGAGAAACTTAGATGTGAAATTGCTTGATCATACTGCTGATGGACGTTTAATGTTAGAATTGTTAAAGTGCATTTTGAATTACTTGTTGTAAGCCAAGCTTGAGGATGTTTTTGTTGTTATTTTGTTTCATTTTGTTTGTGTCTTGGTTTTTGGGGTGGATTGTGAGGGTACATCCTTGAATTATCAGTGTTTTTGATTTGATTTTGTATAATCAGCCTGAGAACATGCTGTTTATATTACATAAATTCATTATTTCTATAGTGGAGAAAAATTTAAAAAAACAATAAAAATCACATATAATTTCAGGAATTATATGTGCTTTTGCAGTTCCTCTTGCATGTGTGCATTAGTCAACACACCTTTCATAGTATTGATGATCATGTAGACATTGGCATACTGGTGGGTATTTGTGTTGCTTCTAATTTTTATTTTTAAGAATTTAAATGAGATGGCTAAAAATATGATACTGCATATATCCTCTCTGGATCTGGATATCTTATTTGGAAAAGATTTGGTCATTCTCTTTTTTTCCTATTTTTTTTGGTACTAGAATTTGAGTGAGGCACTTCTCCTTGAGTTCTATTCCCCCATCATTTTAAATTTTGTTTTTCTCTTCTTTTTTGTTTTGAGGGAGGCATGGTCTAACTAATTCACTAATTGGGCTTGGCAGGTCTTAAATCTGTGATTCTCCTTCTTCAGCCTCTGGAAGCTCTGGGATTCCCTGCCCCTGGGTTTTCTCTAGTCCCAGGGCCTGAGGTTTCTGGGTCTGGTGAGAGGGGCATCCGAACTGAGAGATGAAAAATATGTGGGTATACCAATTCTTCAAAACAAGGACAAATGTTAGCCATTGTAAGCATATACCAATTTTATAATGATTCTTCACAAGTTTATAAATTCATGATATGTAAAATTTTGTGTTCCTCAAATATTGTATATATCTCAAAAATGATTCACAGTATAAGATAGTGCCTTCAGCTGTCTTACACAGAACATATATTTAGAAATTATTCTAATACAAGAGGACACTAAAGAGTCTAATAATTATGATCACATCTTTTATGTTTATTATTTTAAAACTTTCAGGCAATCCTGGTCATTGTTATATAGTTTTTAAATAATTTTTTAAAACCTTGTATTACAACACAGGATGGAATAATGAAATGACAAAGAATAATCTTTTCTTTCAACATAGAAATTTGAATTAATTTTATCTATGTATGAAAGAGAAATGTTGAATAAAGTAATCAATAATCACTTTCCATTTTACTTTTTATTTCGTGCATGTCAAGTATCAATCAGGAATGGTATTCTCACTGAGTTATAAAGTTCTTGCCTTACAACATGTAGGAGGTCCTAGGTTTGCTCTTTGTCACTGCATGTGCATGCACACATGAACACACACACACACACACACACGTGCACACAAAAATAAAACTGTATAATTATTTTAAAACTTTTCTAGGTTAAAAAATAGTCATTTCATACTCTGTTGGTAGAATTGTAAATTACTATACACTGATTGAGCACAATTTAGAAACACCAAAGGTATATTTTTTAAATTCCTATACTTTAACAAAATAATTCAAAATTGAATACAAAATTTAAAAATTTATTCAAAGTAAAACATTAGTAACATGGGAAATGAGTTACATAAAGGATGTGCATTGTAGCACTAATTGTAATGCAAATGTATATTTTTAAACCTCACAATTCTATTTGCTAAATAGTAAAATTTCTATATGGTGGGCTTGTATAGTCATTAAATCAGAATCATGATTTGGAAAATGCACATTTAATTATTATAAGTATTCACAATGAACATGGTGTCATTTTATTTCCAAAGAAGTATTCTCCCCTGAAAGCCCTCAGAAGTTAGTCAAGAATAATAAAAATTCCCCTATCTGCAGTATAAAGTAAGTAGTCCAAACATTTCTTTAAACCTAGGATATTATACTTTGCATTGGAGAGTTCTTGTACCTGTTCTGCTTTTTCATATTCTGTGATTTTGTTCTTTTGTTTCTGATAGCTCTTTTTATAGTCTACTACTTTTATTTTCAATTTTTCTTCTACATATTTTCCAGTTCTATTAATTTATTACATGAATAAAATACACCCCAGATTTTCAGCAGCTTAACAGTATCTGTATCAGGGAGAAAGAAGACAGAAATAAAATATAGGACCACCTTTTACATATAAAGAAATTTCCATTTGCACATTCAGTCATTCATAGACTGAACAATGTATACAGAGTGCCCACAATGTGAAACACACTATACTAATCCCTGCAGATAAAATACATGAGCTCCCTGCTGTTGTTTACCTTCAAGTCTAATGGAAAAGACAAAACAAAGATCATTATAAATTCACATAGATGCTGTAAGGAAAGATCTGTGATCACATACAGGAATGTGATGTACAGTCAGCTCTGGAAGATTTCCCAGGGGAAGAGATGGCAGCACTGAGAAATGCAAAGGAACAGGGAGAAGTTAGGCAGAGTGTGAAGAAGAGCATGCTCATTATTCTCCAGAAGGTATTGAGGCTCTGTGGCAGTCTACTAGCCAAGGGGAGTCATGAGTACAGGCTTATCTTCCTGTCTGAAACAACCTCAACTGACACAATACATTAAACAACAATTTCCAAGACAACAGCCCTCACTTAATGAAGACAATGATAGCTGACCAGCAGGAAACAGATTAGGTAAGCCTTCCTAATGTCCCAGGCTCCCTGCTGCCCTTAGAGACTTCCCAGACCATGCCACAGGAGCAGGAACTTAAGTTGAGTCCCCCAGACCTTGAGCTGAGGTGCTGAAGCTAAGTCTGG